CATCGCCGAGGAGTAGGCTGAACCAGAGGAGTTTTCCATACCTTGTAATGTGCGAATGGTTACACCATATATCATAGCCGTTCGTATGAGTGATGGGATTTCACAATCGTTGGGGCTTCAGAGTCGGTATGTTCTGCGTGAAACTAATTACCAGCATGAGTCCTTCGTGGTCGTTCGTAGGCGCAAGTAGGCACTAGAAACAATTCGGCGCCAGTCGGCGCTAATAGGGACAATGATAGACACGACCAGTGGCTATTAGGGTGGAGCCTGTGCTTCCAGACATCCAGCCTCTCCGATTTTTTCGATGCCTGGGCCCCTGGGGTCCGGACCACTTCCCCGGGGCAGGTTCTTCGTCCTGAATTGCTTTTTTGTCGCTCCCGAGGCCCGGCGAGGGCCCCCAGAGGCCGAAAACTGCCCAAATACAGCGGCCCCAATGTTTTTGGGGCGTCGGACCTCTGGGCTTGGTCGGACGGTGGGAGGGCGCGCGACGGGGGGCGTGCCCTCGCGCGGGGCGCCCTGTTGGTGGAGCGTGTGACCTCTGGGCTTCCATCACCCCCACACTTGATGCACACGAGGCCGGCGCCCGTGCTGGTCTTGGACGAGCCTACGAGCGGCCTCGACGCGGCCACCGCCGCGGCGGTGACGGAGGCTGTGCTCGCGCCCCGGCCAGGCAGGCCCACGACGATCGTGGTGACGCACAGCCCCGAGGTCGTCAAGCGCTGCGACGCGGTGGCCGTGCTGTCGAGGGACGGCAGCATCGTGCAGCACGGCCCCCAGAATCAGCAGCTTCGGCCTTATCCCTATCCCTCCGATTGGCAAGGCCAAGGCGACGACAGTCTCAGGGATATGCAATCAGAAGCTTAGGGACTCGAACTTCGGCACCAAGGTAGGGCGATGCCAAGCATAGGGATAGGGACATGTTCCAAGCTGGTAACAAAAGTTCGAAGTAGAGTAAAACGCCATAAACATAAACTTTTGGCGCTCCGCACGGATTTCTTGGATCCGCGCTGGCCCCCCTCGGCGGCGCCTCCAGCCCCGCCCCCGGCGCGCTCCGCGCGCCAGGGAGGGGGGTCCAGCGCGGATCCAAGAAATCCGCGCGGAGCGCCACAAGTGTGTATTTATAGAAAAAATGATTCTTTTCTCCAGACATGGAAAATGGTACCAGCACGCAGCGCCTCGCCTCGTTCTCGCCACTTGCTGGGGCCTCCGGGGAGGCAGCCGTCGCCACCCTCGGACTCGCTGCGAACCGCCTGTCAGACAGCACCCCGGGGGGTCCGTGGAGCAGCGGTACCGTTCTTTTTTTTTATCTTTCCCCAGGCCCCACGGCGAAGCTGCTGGCCGCACCAGGGGCGGCCCTGCGGGAGGTCATGGAGGCGGGGGTGCCGGGAGCCTGACCGGCCTTTTTGGCTGCACCCCCTCTGCTGGTTTGCCCTGCCAGCTGGCCCTGCCAGGTGCCCTCCCGAATCGACTCAACTGTTTAAGGATGTTGCGACCGCGCTCCCCGCACGCTGCCTCTCTCGCTCTTTTTTTTTTTTTCTCTCTCTCTCTCTCTCTCTTTTTTGTTTTTGTTTTTTTTGTTCTCTCTCCCTATCTCTCTCTCTCTCTCTCTTCCGTCTCCTCTCGCCCTGTCGTTCTCCATCCTCCTCGTACTCTCCTGCTGCCCTTCTCCCCTCCTGTTCCCTCCTCTTCGCCCTCCTCCTCCTCCTCCTCTTCCTCCTCCTCTTCCTCCCTGCTTCACGCTCGCTCTTTCCTCCCCTTCTCCCTGCGCTGGGCTCCCAACCGCCGGTGTGGCGTTGGTCGACCGGCGCTCCGGCGGCCAGAGGTGGGCCCCTGAGAGCGGTCCTCCGTCCTCCTCCTCCTCCCCGCAGCGGCGCGCCAATCGGTGTCAGGGTGAACCTCGGAGAGCGCAGGCCGCAGGCCCGGCCGCGAGAAGCCCTCGTGCCTGCCAGGGGCCCTCCGTGCGGGAGAGAGGGGCGTCCACAGCCGCTGTGTCCGGGGGTCTCGGGTCATGATGTTCCAGCCTGCTGTGGCCTTGATCGCCAGAAGGAATTTCGAGCGCGAAGCAAAAAGTGCCAGAGCTCGAGGGTTTCCGCGTGTCGGGCCCTGGGAGACACTCGTCCGACGCTGTTCCGACACTCCTTCGGCACTCTTTCGGCACTTTTCCGGGTGCTCGAAAGTATTTTTGGGATGTGGTCCTTAAGTACGGTGGGAGCAACATGAGTCTCGGGCTCCACTCCCCGAGGCGCACGCGAGGCGCCCAGAACCCCGGAGGCTCGATCTCTGTCCATGGCCGCTGCGCCTCGGCCTCTTGTCTCAAGTCGGGCATGTCCCCCTGCAGGGTTTTTTCGACGAAAAACAAAACATCCCCCCAAAAAAGTCCAAGAATAGTCTGGGGACTATTTCTTGAGTATTTGTTGACCTTTTTGGTATATTTTTGGATTCTTGTTCATCGTCGGAAATCCCCTTGTCGCACTTTCCCAGAAAGTCCAAGACGCAGTGGACATACTAGTACTATGTGTTCGTCGCCCCCCCCAGGGGCGACGCGCGCACCGAGAAATTTTGTGAAGCATGCGTCGTGGCGGGCGCTTCCTGGCCGCGCCGCTCGGGTAAGGATGTACTGCAAGATGGGTATACGATGTGTTCGGGTCGGACGCATGCCTCCAAGAAGGACACATTGTACTAGCATGTCCTCGTGCTTCCCCACAAGAACTTGCCCTCACTCCGCCCCGGTCGTCTTGGCGCGCCGCCCGCCCGGTCAAAGTCCACAGAGGGCCCCCGTGCTCCGCGAGGCCAGCCTCGCATTCCTGCCTCCTCCTCCCGCCCTCCCCCCTCTTCCTCCCGCTCCTTTCCTCCTCCTCCTCCTCCTCCTCCTCCTCCTCCTCCTCCTCCCTCCTCCCCCTCTCCCTCCTCCTCCTCCTCCCCTCCCTCCTCCTCCTCCTCCCGCTCCTCCTCCTCCTCCTTTTTTTCCTCCTCCTCCTTCTTCTCCTCCTCCTCCTCCTGCTCCTCCTCCTCCTTTACTCCTCTTCATCCTCCGCAGCCGACCTCGTCGTCGTCGTCGTCGTCGTCGCCGTCGTCGCCGTCGTCGTCGTCGTCGTCGTCGTCGTCGTCGTCGTTTTCGTTTTCGTCGTCGTCATCGTCGTCGTCGTCGTCGTTATCGTCGTCGTCGTCGTTGTTGGCGTCGGCGTCGTCGTCGGCGCCGGCGCCGGGGCCGGCATCGGCATCGGCGTCGGCGTCGGCGTCGGCGTCGTCGTCGTCGTCGTCGTCGTCGTCGTCGTCGTCGTCGTTTGTCGTCGTCGTCCGTCGTGCGTCGTCCGTCGTCCGTCGTCGTTGCTCGTCGTCACCCGTTCGTCGTCGTCGAGCGAGGTGTTTGGTGGTCGTTCTCTCGTCGGCGAGCCGTCGGCACTTCGGCCCATGGCTCTGCCATCCTGTGGCCTGACGTCACGGGTAGCGTTCGGGGGGGACAGGCTCCAGGGGGGAAGCATCGACCCCCCACCGCCCGCTTACTGCTGGCACGGGCCCGATGGCCCACCCCTCCCAGCAACGTGGCGGATTGGCCACCATACCGGCCTGGAACATGTCCCTATCCCTATGCTGGGCACCTCCTCATCACGATGCCAATCTTAGGGATTCAATCTTAGGGATAGGGATACGTTCGAGGCTGGTAACACCAGGGGCCTGTCGCCGATTGTATCGGCGGTGCATGTCGCCCATCCCAGCTCGAGGTCGGCCCCTTTGGGCCAGCCCCCCGCTCAAACCCGCGGACGATCTGTATGCACCGTGCCGTGCAGGTGTGTCTCCTGAGGCGTCGTCCGCCCTCGACCCAGGAATCTTACGGTGCATACAGTGGAGGCCCATGCCAAGAAACACCCTGCTTGCCTCCAGGGTGCCTTGGGTTTCTTGGGTTTCGATGGTTCTGCTACGGAAAGCGCGACGTGCCCAGACCAAAAATCACTGGATGTCCTGGGGCCTCAGGGTTGGGTTCCTTGCGGAAGGTTTCACGTGGACTGGCCTCCACTGTAGTTTTCCCGCCCTCAGAGCCCAGAAACTGTGCAACGTGCTGCGTCGGAGCAGGGCCTGAAGGGAGTCCAGGCATGGTGCGGTGCAGGGGCGCCGTTCTCGCTTCAAGCTCCCCCTCATGACGTCGCTGCCGCTGCCTCCACATCCAAGGGCCTTCAATATCCACTCCTCCACGGCACCCCTGCGATACAGCGGGGGCGTCGGTTGAGGAATGCGCCTTGTCTGATGAGGGCGGTCCATCCACGATTGGAGTTCCACCTACTTCCAGGCCCTGGATTCCTTGTTCAAGGGTTCCTTCTTCGCCTGGAGTGCGAGCAGCCCGCGGCAGCGCCGCACTTTTTTTGTTCTGTCGGCCGCGCCCCTCGCCGCAGCGAGACGGGCCTCCGTGGTGCGCCCCCTCGCAGAAGGTGCGCGCGGCCCCCCGCAGGTTCTGACCCCGCCACCGCTGCCTCCGCCCCCGCCCCCGCTCCCGGGCCCGCTGCGCGCTGGCTCCGTCCCACCTGTGCCCCTGATCGCAGCCCGTCCCCCGCCTCTCCCCCGCCCCTCGCTCCTGCCCGCCGCCTCGCCCCCCGCCCCTGCCCGTCGCCGCTCCGCCCCCTTCTGCGCCCCGCCGCCTCCTCCTCCTCCTCCTCCTCCTCCTCCTCCTCCTCCTCCTCCTCCTCCTCCTCCTCCTCCTCCTCCTCCTCCTCCTCCTCCTCCTCCTCCTCCCCTCCTCCTCCTCCTCCTCCTCCTCCCTCCTCCTCCTCCTCCTCCTCCTGACTCTTGGGTTTACACTGGTCCTCCTCCTCCTCCTCCTCCTCCTCCTCCTCCTCCTCCTCCTCCATCTCCCCCTCCTCCTTCTGCCCCTGCCCCCGCCGTCCCCCCTCCGCCCGGCCCCGCGGCCCCCGACGCCGCGGGCTCCTCGTTGCGCCGGGCGCCTCGGGGCTCCCCCACGCCTCGCCCGGCACGGCTGGCTTCCCAGTCGTCCGTCGCCCGTCGTCCGTCGTCCGTCGGCATCGGCGTCGGCGTCGGCGTCGGCGTCGGCGTCGTCGTCGTCGCCGCCGCCGCCGCCATCGCCGCCGTCATTGTCGTCGTCCGTCGTCTGTCGTCAGTCGTCCGTCGTCGGTCGTCCGTCGCCGTCGCCTTCGCCGTCGTCGTCGTCGTCGTCGTCGTCGTCGTCGTCGTCGTCGTCGTCGTCGCCGTCGCCGTCGCCGTCGCCGTCGCCGTCGCCGTCGCCGTCACCGCCGCCGCCGCCGCCGCCGCTGCCGTCATTGTCGTCGTCCGTCGTCCGTTGTCCGTCGTCCGTCGCCGTCGCCGTCGCCTTCGCCGTCGTCGTCGTCGTCGTCGTCGTCGTCGTCGTCGTTGTCGTCGCCGTCGTCGTCGTCGTCGCCGTCATCGTCGTCGTCGTCGCGCGTCGTCGTCGCCGTCGTCGTCGTCGTCGCCCTGAGCTGTGCTCCTGCTGGCCGCCCACTGGTCACGGGCCTCCCGGGCCTGGGCTCGAGTTGTGGCAAGGAGAACACCTCCAGACTTAGCTCTTAGCCGCCTCGATACGCCTGTGCTGAAACGCAACATGTACCGTGCTGGAAAAGTCCGTATCAATCCTCCTCCTCCTCCTCCTCCTCCTCCTCCCTTTCCTCTTCCTCCTCCTCCTCCCTTTCCTCCTCCTCCTCCTTCTCCTCCTTCTGACGTTGGCCATGCTATAAACGTGCTCAGTGCTCAGTATGCTGCTGCGCGCACCTCCTCCTCCTCCTCCTCCTCCTCCTCTTCCTCCTCATCCTCCTCCAACTCCTCTTCCTCCTCCTCCTCCTACGTTGCGTGTTGGCTCAGCGTATTCGCCCACGGTTTGGCGAACATATCTCGTCAGACCAGCGTTTTCAGTCTACGTGTTGAGCTCTGTATCAGTACGCTACGTGTTGCGTGTTGCGTATCGGGGCGGCTAAGCCGCCCAAGCAGCCGATGCCTTGTTTTTATCCATTTGGGATGCCCTGAAGTCCCGACCCCTTCCCCAGGCCTGGCATTCATCCCCGGTTGTTTTTGGATGGTCCCGGACTCCGGCAAGGGCCCCCAGAGTTAGGATGCACTTCTTGGGAGGTTCACGGTCGAAATCTGGTCCAGTGATGCAGAGTCCGGCTTAATGCGGCTTCATCCCAATGAATCCGGTTTCATCCAGCTTGATCCTGGGCTCAATCCGGCCAGGTCCGGTTCAGTGGCTTCTCATCGGACTTGAGTAGCCTTCAGTCGCCCTTTGCGAAGACCTCCCAGGAGTTGCTTCCTCAGCGGAGGCCGACAACGGCCAACCGCCTCCCGGCGCGATGCCTTCGCGACGCGAGCACGTTTCTCAGGAGAAGAAGAAACACACAGACACAATTAATCCTCGATTCCCCAGAAAATATGGGAAAATATGGGAAGTGGGGGGGAAGACAGAACCCCAGACAATATGGGAAAATATGGGGAATCTTTTTATTTGTGTGTATTTATTTGTGTGTCCTGGTGCCCCTTCAGTTCCACTTCTCGAGCCACAGCTCGGCTCTCCAGCGGCCACACTCGGGACGACTCAGGAGGAGGCCCCAGCACTGCCGAGAGCCAGCGGACACGTCTGACGCCCGCCAAAGGGCGACATCTCTGGCCGTGGTATCTCCGCGCCGCAGGCAAGCCTGCGCCCTCCTCCTCCTCCTCCTCCTCCTCCTCCTCCTCCTCCTCCTCCTCCGCCCTCCTCCTGCTCCTCCTCCTCCTCCTCCTCCCTCCTCCTCCCCTCCTCCTCCCTCCTCCGCCTCCTCCTCCTCTCCTCCTCCCCTCCTCCTCCTCTCCTCCTCCTCCTCCTCCGCCTCCTCCTCCTCCTCCTCCTCCTCCTCCTCCTCCTCCTCCCTCCTCCCTCCTCCTCTCCTCCTCCTTCCTCCTCCTCCTCCTCCTCCTCCTCCTCCCTCCTCCTCCTCCTCCTCCTCCTCCTCCTCCTCCTCCTCCTCCTCCTCCTCCTCCCTCCTCCTCCTCCTCCTCCTCCTCCTCCTCCTCCTCCTCCTCCTCCTCCTCCTCCTCCTCCGCCTCCTCCCTCCTCCTCTGCCTCCCCCGCGGCCCCGCGGCCGAGCCGGCGCGCGCGCGTGCGCAGGCCAACCCGCGCTCCCGGCGGCGGCTGCGGCGGCTGCAGGAGGACCTCCGGGCCAGCGCGGGAGGCCGCCTGCGCCGCCGCCCTCGGCGCTTGCCGGCGTCGTCGTCGTCGTCGTCGTCGTCGTCGTCGTCGTCGTCGTCGTCGTCGTCGGCGCTCGTCGTCGTCGTCGGCGTCGTCGTCGGCGTCGTCGGCGTCGTCGCCGTCGTCGGCGTCGTCGTCTTCATCGTCGGCGTCGTCGGCGTCGTCGTCTTCTTCGTCGTCGTCGTCGTCGTCGTCGTCGTCGGCGTCGTCGGCGGCGGCGTCGTCGTCGTCGTGGCTGTCGTCCCTGTCGTCGTCGTCGTCGTCGTCGTCGTCGTCGTCGTCGTCGTCGTCGTCGTCCTGGCCGTTGCCGTGGGCGCCGCCGTCGCCGCGCGTGCCCTCGCGCGGCGGTGGCAGCCCCGGACATCCCCCCAGACAGCAACAGACCTCCCGCGGAAGACGCCAACCCTGATCCAGGAATCGAGACTAGACGTTCGAGGTTTTCAAACTTTTTTTGCTGGTTCTCGGCAGGGGTTTTCCAGCCTCGGGATGCTCTCCAGAAGCTGCGCCTCGCCGAGGGCATTCCAGGGGTACCTGGATCGATCGAACGGCCGAAGGAGAGCCGAGTTCTGGCCCGAAAGCCAGGGGGTGCTCGCTGGGCCAGGGGACCGTTGAATAAGGGCTCGGCTGAAAAGCTGGCCCTGGGAAAGGGGCGGGGCTTTTGAGGGTCCCGCATGGAGAAAATCGAGGGGGGCCGCTCGTCTGGCCTCTGTGCCGTCAAAAGTCCAGGCCTCCCGCACGGGATCCGAGTGGACGGGGGGCGGAGGGTCGCGTCGAATCGCTGACGCATCGGCGATGCGGCTCGATGTCGAACCGGATTTTCTCTACGCCGACGGCTCCGATGCATTGCCGACGTCGCCGATGCGTCGCCGATGCGTCGCCGATGCATCGGCGAAGCATCGGCGATGTGTCGCGATCCCCCGATCTCATCTGCTTGGACCCAACTGGGGAGGCCTCCAACAAAAGGCGGCTAGGGATGGAAATCCTGTCCTGGGGGCGGGGGGGTTGATCGGGGCTCACGTAACGAGGCTCATCGGACTGGGCGAGGACGAGAATACATCCGTTCCAGAGCGTTCCGGAACGATGTCAGAGCGTTCCGGAACACTCTGCGAAGGCCGCGGCGCCCGAGACGTCCCCAAGAGCCACCGGATCTCAGAGATGCTCGACTTATGCTCACCCGATTCTATCCTCCCCCTGGCTTCGTCCCAGCTCTCGTGACGGGGCTCAGCGCCAACGGGGCTCGGCCAGGACGCCAGGTCCTGCAGGGTCCTGACTGCTGCAGGGTCCTGCAGAGGCTGGACCTCGGCTGAGCCGGATTGGGGCGCCGCTCGTGGCCCTGGGGGTCCTCCTCCTCCTCCTCCTCCTCCTCCTCCTCCTCCTCCTCCTCCTCCACCTCCTCCTCCTCCCTCCTCCCTCCTCCTCCTCCTCCCTCCTCCTCTCCCTCCTCCCTCCTCCTCCTCCTCCTCCCTCCTCCTCCCTCCTCCCTCCTCCCTCCTCCCTCCTCGTGTATTTGCGGGCGAGATTTCCATCCACGTCCACTGCGACTCTGACTTCCTGGGGAAGGGCACCACAATGCCGAGGCGCAGTGGGGATGGAAGACATTTAGCCTCCAGGGGCCAGGGTAGGTGGCCTCCAGCCTCCATCTGGCCTCTAAGCGGTTGTCTGGGGAAGGGAGGCCGAAGCTCCAAGATGCAGTGGATGTGGGAATCACATCTGCCCTCAGTATTAGCTGAGCCAGGTTTGGGAAGCCCAGCAGAAATCAGCATAGTAAGTTTCGAATGACCCCTGCGTCGACCCAAACATGTGTACTGCTCGAAAGCCAGGACGTCCGGCTCACAGCTGGTCATTGTGAGGGTCGGCGCTTTGAAAAGCCAAGGCGCCCGGCCCACAGCTGGCCCACAGAGCCAGCATCGGCTTCCGGCCCACCAGGAGGGGCGCCATCCCTTTGAGGGTCGCCGCTTTTCGAAGGCCAACGCGCCCGGCCTACAGCTGGCCCACAGAGCCGGCAGAGGCCTCCAGCCCGCTGGGAGGAGTGCCGTCCTCGTGGGGTTCATCGTTCTTCGAAGTCCAAATCGCCCGGCCCACAGCTGGCCCACAGAGCTGGCAGTGAGGTTTCCCGGGAGAGGCGCCATCCCTGTGAGGGTGGTGGCTTTTCGAAGGCCACCGCGCACGGCCCACAGCTGGCCCACAGAGCCGGCAGAGGCCTCAAGCCCGCGTGGAGGAGCGCCATCCTCCTGAGCGTCG